AGTACACATAACCATCGGATTTAAATCCGAGGTTTCCACATTTATTTTGATTATAAATATAAAAATGCTGCGTCAATTCCATGCCTTTGTCGGAATAAAGCCATTTTCTCCTGAAAACAAATGTGAACCTAATTGAAACAAGAGACTTTCATGATGTACCTATATAGATGAATTAAAAAATTGATTTGTGGATAATCAATTTCTAGTCTAAATATTCATTCTCTGTTGAACTGACATGGCGAAGTGAATCAATTGATGTTCTCAGTTCGATATGCATCCTAAAAATCATCATATATTACCACCTATCAGATATCTTTTGAAACGATGTGCAAATAAACTTCTTTTATCGTTTATTGAACATCATTAAAAGTCGTTTAATCAGATTATTTTCACGTATATTTTTGTTACATCAAAATATTGTTTTTTAATAAAATTTTGGTTGTTGTCTATTAATCAGTCAATCTGTCATTGTTATTCGTCAGTTCATTTCTTATCATCGTTGGATGAGCTTTGCTTTTTTTTTTTAGGAACCGTGGTAAAATTTATTAAAATATCTCAACGTTATTGCAACATGATTATTTTCAATGCAAACAATTTAAATTATTTTTTGTAAAAAAAAAGGAAACTATCAAAAACTTTACTTTAAAATGAGGTGCCCACTTAAAAATGATACGGTTTATGAAAGAGCAGAACTTTTTTTGTGGGAATCTTAATAGATTCAATATTTTAAAATTTGATTTGATACATATTGCATATTTTCCTTTTTTTCTTTCTATTTAACTATCTCATATGAACTAGACATTGTCTATATAAATATTCGACTCGATTCAATCGAAATTATAGTACAATAAATGTTAAGATTTGTTTTGTTTATTGAATATTCACTTTCAAGAATATTCATCTTAATATATTGATACATTTCTGGATCGATATAAAGATATTCAATTTTAAGTCCATAATATTCTTGTAAAAATCCAATTGGCTGATTTTGATGAGAACGGCTTTGAACCTGAAACATGACATTATTTTATTTTCAAATTTTTCCTTTTCAATATTTTACAAATCACTAAACTAAATACAGATTTTGATAATTTCATTTAATTTGAGTTAGTTTTAATTAAAAAAAATAAATAATATGAACTTTAATTATAAAATGTAGAATTTTATATAATGCAGCAAACGTACGGCGACATATTCTTATTTTAATTATTTATTTTCTTTATTTTTATTTAAATGAAAAAAAATAAAATATCTCTTTAGTTAATATATTCAGTATTTCGATAATCATCAGAACATTGTCTTAATCCACTAATAATAATACTGTATTAATTAGATCCATCGTGATTACCACAATCTAACGTTAGCTGATTACTGCCTGTATAATATAATTCTATATTTCTAATAGAAGTCCATACGATTTATTAATTTACTTATGTATGAGCAACTTAATTAGACATTGTATATAATTATGTTATTTCTGTAAAATAGGTGATTGTTATAGTTTAATAATCATGCCAAAATAATGTCATGGTAATCACTATGAATCTAATTTGCATGGTTCAACTTTAATAGGTCCAATTCAGCCCATTCGAGCTGTTTCATTTAGACGTTATTTTTTTTCTAATATAAACACTACAAGAAGAATTCGAGTAGACTAACCATAATATTGCAACTAAATTGATACATCTGCAAAGTGCTTACAAAATTGTGATAAGTATCTGCATTATGCTAATCCTAACTTATACTAATGTCAAAGCATAAAGTTATTCTTTTTAACACTAACATAAAAACATTAAATTCCTTTTTTAATCCAAATACAAGAATATTACAATTAGTATTATTTAATGCAATGTTAATGTTAAGTCGGCACCCCTAATCTATAGTTCAATAAAACAAAGCTAGGTGTCAAAACGTAACAATTTTAAGGTCTTCTTAATTTTATTTATGTGACATTCTTAAATGCCAAAGATCTGATCTCTACATATCAATGCGAGAAAAGAACGTCGAACTTTTTCACTCAAAAGATCAAGTGACCAACGATTGGATAAACTAATTTTATCGTCGTCATTTAATACCAAAGGGTACTACAAACGCCTCAATATGAAGAATAAACGTTGTGAATCAATACTTTTTTAAAGATAGTTGTCTATGAACACTACATGTACACCTTTATGGGATAATGATAAAATGAGTAACCGTTTCTCGCGGAGAAGAAAACAAAAGAATAGATAAATTGTCTATTAAACAAAAGAAAGATATTGATTGTTTGTGCGATGAATTGTGAGAGTGACTGCCTATGCCTTTTGGCACGATGGTGTCTTGCCCCATCTACACACTCACAACTGTGTCTTTACTTTATTAAATGCAACTTATATGAATGTGATCACACAGGAGAGAGCAAAGAGAGAAGGTCAATCCTCGGTGAAAACGTCACATGAGTGAAGCACGAAGGTCAATAAACGCTACAGATTGAACAGAGACTTTGCTTTTCTCAAGTTGCGAATGGCTGGGAAATATTCGCGATAATACGACTGAAGCAAAACTATCAAGGCCCCGAACAGACTGAACACGATAAAACTGAATTAACCAATACAATTCGCGTTGCTATGCAAAAAGACCAGTCGTGTTTCTTAATTCACTTTGAATTAGTCAGTCTGTTCGGGGCACAAGAGATATTATCGCGACCGATCCTATGCATCATCACTCGCCATGCGGTATCCGAGGACGTCCGTCGGGCTCATATGTTCATGTGTAAACACATCATTTATTCTTTTTCTCTTTTTTAATGCTATTTCGGTCTGATATTTTTCTGTTCATATTGAATGTATTAGGTCATTCTTTGAATTAAACCCGAGCGAATAGGTTGCTCCATTACAATTATTCTCTTCTCAACATACCAATAATAATTTCAATTGTCATTTAAATACGTCCATCTTCTTTATTAATATATCTATTTAGCGTTTTTTTAAAGTAAACTAAATATCTGTATGAATTTTTTTATAGAGAATATTATTAGTTAACTATCTCTCTATTACAAAGATAATGAATACTGATTCCAGTTTATCACCAACAAATAAAGATTCAACACTTATGAATACATCTTCAAATTTGAATATGATGCAAACAGCTACATATCATCATGAACAATATCAAGCAACTATTGATGACGTTTTTCCAGCATCAAATGATGTTTCATCATCAGTTAATAATATGATATCATCATTAACATTTTCTAAGTCAGTTACAAATTCAATGGGTGATTGTATATATCCATGGAGAAACCGAGGTATTCATAAATTAATTGAAAAAAATGATGTATTGACAATACATAAATGTAAAATATAGAAATGATCAACATTTGTACCATTATTTTGTTTATTTATGATTACCATTAAGTCGTTCTTTCTTTTTTCTTTATAGAATTTAATTCTGAATATAAACATAGTCGAACAACTTATACAAGTCATCAAATACTTGAAATAAAAAAAGAATTTCATTATAACAAGTAAGAAAAGAATGTTTTTATATTTATTTACAAATATTAATAGATATTTAACACGTCGGCGACGAATTGAAATTGCTCGTCGTCTTGATTTAACTGAACAACAAATTAAAGTAATAAAATCCCGTTTTTTATGTTAATCTATTCGTTTTCTTTTAGATTTTGTTTGTGAGTCTGTAAGAATACATCGCGAGTATTTTTTTTTATTTATGATTTTTTCTTTTACATTAGTCGATTGAAATGGAACAAAGATAATTTTAAATCACGTAATGATCCACATGTGGAACTTGAAGCAAATGCAACAAATCATGGTCGAAATTATCATTCATATGCTATATGAACTAATGATACATCATGATCATCAATATCAAATGTTAAAAAAGAAAATAACCATCCATATAACATCAATGGAAATAATAAATAAATATTTAACTGTATATATAAAGACTTTTGACTACTAGTTGATCACAATAGAATGTATGCTCTACGTTTTGTTTTTCAAAAGATTAAAAAAATAAATTTGCAATGAATTGTCAAATATTGTTATATTAAAGTATTGGTCACCTACACTTCTCGATGTTTCAATTAATACTACACGACAGAAATAAGATTTAAAGAGTTTGTACAATGTGTCAAGAAGTTGAAAAATAAACCAATAATTGTTGATCAAGACGTCGTATAGAAGCCGGCAAGAAAAAGCGTTTTTTTTCTTTACGCATATTTCTAACGCATTAGTTGATCCTGAGCATAGACGGCGCAATCTGAAAATTTCAGAGAAAGCAATAAGTTTCAGGATGAGATTATATTCGTCTCCTTCACCATGGCTTACAACTAGGCAACAAAATCGGTTTTCGAAATCTGAACTCATTTGGTAGCTAGTATAGAAGTCATTAGGGTGTGAAGTGTGAATGTGGGTAGGGCTTAAGTGGAGAGCTAGGCCCACACCCACTCTCTCAAAGACTATAAGAAACAATGCATTTTGGAACGTTTAAATTATGTTACTTTTCAAACAAGAGATTCCTGCTTTTACAGTTCTGGTGTATCAGTGAAAAGCTATGGATTTAGACATTCTAATTCCCAAAATGACAGAGATATTGATTTGAATCACGAATGGCATCGCAGTTACCATTGTGTGGACACATGAGATGATTGGGAGGAACGAATGACAACATACAAATCAATTATTAGTTATCGAAAATTATTAATTGATTATTATCAGGTGGACTTCGATGATGCCATTAAAATTGTATGTGATCAATTAGTGGATATCAGTGCAATCAATGAATATACAAAAACAGAAAAGAAATTTTCTAAAGAAAGTATTCTCTACTCAGTCGTCACGATTCCTTAAAGAACTTTTTGAAATTATTTGAAAATTATTATCATCTAGTTAACCCTTTACCCCCCGCACCACTAATCCAGCAAAGCTGATGCTGAGTCGACTACAGGAATAGATCATATTAGTGCTCAATATGACCTTCCTGTGGTTAAATTCGAGCGAAGTCGTTTCACTGTGTAGATACAAAATGGGTCACAGATGACCCATTGGTGTTGAATGACATAAAAATTTGACTTCTTGACTTATTTTCGTAACTGCATGTTTATTTATTCGTATCAAGCTATAAGTCTTTCACTATTATGAGTTGTTTACAAGAAAAAAGATGTTTTTCAAAAAAATATATAACAAGTTTATTCCATCCAAATCAAAATTTACATTAAAAAAATAGCAAAAGTATCAATGTTTGTATGTCAGATATATCTGTTAATTTTTACAATGATAATCTTTAAAACAATTACGTGTTGTACAAAAACATAAATGGACGTGGCATTTGGAACAATATACGTTTGTCTTCATTGAACAACCTTTATTTTTACATCGCAGGCGTAAACTTTGTTGATATTGGGGCCAATGTTCTAAACCATTAAAACGAACCCTACTTGAAATATTCGAGGCAGTTTCTCTTTTTCTTTTTTGTCGAACAAGATTATTATCATCATTATCTGATTCCGATGATGATTGATTTGTAACTAATACCTTTAACATTCGACGTTCAATGGCTCTAAGCTCCCGTAGCATTATATTTGCTATATCCATCTTAAAGTAAAATAAACGAGAACGTCTCCAGCTTCGTTGATGATCAGGTAACATATGTTTCCATAAAACCCAAGCGTTTATTACCATCAAGTCAAGTATTTTCCATGCAATACGCATGTACCATTTTTTCGGCCTGAAATATATAGGATGCAAAGCACATAACATATCGACCTTGTCGACGCCGCCCATATTCTTGTTATACGTTTTTACTATTTGTGGTGCATTCACACTTACCTTTTGACGGTTTTGTTTGTCCCATCTTGATAATTGTGTAAATGGTTCAATACCAATAAAATTTGATCCCATTAAAACACATTTTCTATCCTGCCAGGCGACTATTATAATTCTTTTGTCTTTTGATACCAAATAATCATAATAACCTCGTGGATATTTGCTCATAGCTTTTTCTGATTTAATTGGAAAATTTTTAATACGATTTGATCTTAATGTACAGGTTAATCCATAACCAAGTGAAGTCATTTCATATAATAATGATAAAGAACCAAAATAATTATCAGTAAAAATATGTGAACCTTTTGGTATATCATCTAATAAATCGATAACTATCATTTCTGATTGACCATAACTTTTTATATCTTCAGATTGTTTAGCTAGTTTTTCATTATCATCATCATTTCGATGTTTTGAACGTGTTTGAAGTTCAGATGAAGCTGTTGTATATGATGATAGTTTCATTTGTGCTACAGGCATATTTGCATTAGCACCTTGGTATAATTTAATACGATACGTGTATGCAGAAACACCAGATAAAGACCAAAGTTTGAAACCTCGTTTTGTCGGTTTTTTTGGCATATATTGTTTATAACTTTTTGGTGCCGATTTTCCTTTGTATCCTATCATTTGTTCGTCAATTGATATATTTTGCTCCTGTTTTACCACCGAACCACATCGGTTATTGAACAAATCAATTAAAGGTTGTATTTTATCACTAGGTTGTTTTTGAAGAACATTATTACTAGTCTAATCTTGCATTTGAGATCATGTTTCATTTTAAAATATTTTTATAACTTGATAAGAGAAATAACCTTCACATTATTACCGATTCATGGAGAAATTATTTAATGATAGACTTTTTCATAGTT